TCCCTTTCTGCTAGATTATAACTCCTTGCGCAAGTGGGGCCTCATAGCGGCTGCCATCCTCTTCATCCTGGGCATTCTGGTTCTCACATGTAAGCACGGGATCCCGGCCTGGGCAGGGCTGGTTTGGTACTGGAGACGTTGGTGTTCCTTTCCTACCGAGACCTAGGTGGGGAGGCAGCACAGCAGCTAGGCACAGACGGTTTTAAAAGGGGAGGAGGAGGAGGAAAAGGAGAAGAGGAGGAGGAAGAGGAGGAGATTGGATTTATACCCCGCCTTTCACTACTTAAAGGAGTCTCAGAGTGGTTTACAATCTCCTTTCCCTTCCCCTCCCCACAACAGACACCCTGTGAGGTAGATGAGGCTGAGAGAGCTCTTTCGAGAACTGCTCATGAGAGAACAGCTCTGAAAGAACTTATGACTGACCCAAGGTCACACTAGCAGCTGCATGTGGAGGAGTGGGGACTCGAACCTGGTTCTCCCAGATGAGAGTCCATGCTCCTAACCACTACACCAAACTGGTTTTTCTAATTTTCTTAGACAGATTAATGGAGGACAGGTCTATCAGTGGCTACCAAACATGGCAACTAAAGGGAACCTCCACATTCAGAGGCAGTCAACCTCTGAATCCTGGTGCTAGGAGGCAACATAAGGGGAAGGTCTCACCCTCTATGTCCTGTTCTTGGCCCTCTGAAGGAACTGGTTAGCCAGTGTGTGAGACAGGACGCTGGACTAGATGGACCACCAGTCTATTCCAGCAGGGCTCTTCTTATGTTCTTAACGAGTTTATCATTAGTATCATGATCCTCTCCTTTCATATCCTCCATTTCTTATTGAGGCTCAAGGCAGGTTCCAAAATATGAAAACCAATTTGATCAAACAGCAAGATACCTACGCCAGAGGCAGTAATGCCTCTTTATACCAGTTGCCTGGGGATCATGGGCGGGAAAATGCTGTTGCACTCATCCTGCCAGCGGTTTTCCTAGTTGCAGCTGGCGGGCTGCTGTATGAAGAGGACGCTGGACTTGATGGGCCTTTGGTCTGATCCAGCATGGCTCTTCTAATGTTCTTAAACAACACAATGCAGTGGGGCTAGGACTGAAGAATTGGAAAATAATACAAGCAAGAACCCCCCCACACAACAATACTGTCCATATATGCAAACAAAAAACGTCTTAAGGCAATAAAGCCATCCAAGGTTTGACATGCCATAATGAAGAAAGGGTTACAAAGGTAGAGGACATTGTATTGCAGGAAAGGGGTGTGTGTGATGGGTTCACTAAGTATACCACAACACTAGCCTTTTGGTCCCTGCTCCCTTATCATGAGCCTTTTGCAGACATAATGCTTAACCATGGGTTAACATGGACAGCCCAGGCTAGCCCGATCTCATCAGAGCTCAGAAGCTAAGCAGGGTCAGCCTTGGTTAATATTTGGATGGGAGACCACCAAGGAAGTCCAGCGTTGCTACATGGAGGTAGGCAATGGCAAACTCTCTCTGGTTGTCTCTTGACTTGAAAACCCTAGGGACTCACAGAGTTCCCTCTAAGCTGAGTTCATGTGAGCTAGCTCACAGTTTTTTAGCCTCCGGCTGAGAGATTGTTGTCTGCGCTCAGGAAGGATGGCTGCGCTCAGGAAGGATGGCTTCGCGCTTAGGCTGTTAGCTGGCGATCACACGGCGATGCTGGAGCATGGCAAAGAAGGGGCACAGCAAGCATTTCGCGTTTGTGCTCATGTGCAGTTCCGCGGAGCAGCACTGCTTTCAGTTATGTGTTTGTGCACATGCGCTTACGGAAAAAATCCAGTTTGCGATGGGACGTGGACGGGTGCTGGATGCCATGGGATACTAGCACTCCTGCAATCAGACGCCCGCCCCTGCCTCGCTTTTCCGGATACTAGTGCCCTTTCCGTGGTATTTTTTTACTGCGTGTCTTTGGCGGGACGCCACGGGTGCTCTACGCTTCCCAGATGTTGCGATGTGATCGCGCACCGAAAATCTGCCTGACATTCGTGCCTTTAGCGCGGCAAACCCTCCATGTGAATAGGGCCTTAGTTGCTCTTTTCTGCATCTTTTCCAGTGCTATGCCTTTTTTTGAGGTGCAGTGACCAGAATTGTATACAGTGTTCCAAATGAAGCCACACCATAGATTTGTACAGGGGCATTATGATACTGGCTAATTTGTTTTCAATTCCCTTCCTAGTAGATTGCCGCCCTGAGCTGGCCTCGGCTGGGTGTGTGTGTATAAATTTGATAAATAAATAAATAATAATACATCCCTCTTTAAGGTTAAGAAGTGTTACAAATCTGTCATTGCTGATGTCCCGGATCTCTCAGTTCAATTCCGAGTTCGAGGAGGAAGTAAACCTGTTTTCCAGTAAACCTCTCTTTTCTCGCTCCACTTCCAGGTGGTAAACACGGGAAACTCCTACGATGCCGAAGGAAAAAGCGAGCCAGGTGAGAGAGAGCGACCACAGCGACCCCCTCCCCCAGTCCTCCTTCCTTGTGAGAGACCAACCAGCATGGAGTCTACTGTTATGGTTAGAACTAGCAGTAAAGCCCGTTGTGAAAGCAATACAACGGTATCTAGAAAGAGGCTCTGGGGCAGTGCTCTGGCTTTGGGCAAACAGTGTTAATTTGCTGTGGTGACCTCAGCAGGGTATAATGACAGAGTCCACTGTTTTCTCCAGAGGAACTGATCTCTGCTACCTGAAGAGCAGTTGTAATTGTGAGTGATCTGTAGCCCTCACCTGAAGATTGGCAGCAATTGTTACCCAGGACAAAATGGCTGGTTTGGAGGGTGTAGTCTATGGCATTCTACCTGTCTGAGGTCCCACCCCTCTGCAAACCCCACCCTCTCCAGGCTCCACCCCTCAAATCCCCAGGAATTTGTCAGCATGTAGTTGGCAACCCCATCTCCTTCCCAGCTAACCATCAACCTACCATTATCTGCCCCTTTGATTTCAGCTGACTTCTGCCCTCCCTTCTGCAGAGCAGTTGCAATTCTGAGTGCTCTCCAGCCCTCACCTGGAGATTGGCAACAATGGTTCCCTATGTGGGACTGACTGGTTTGGAGGGTGGACTCTATGGCAGCGTACCTGTATGAGGTCCCACCCCTCCTCAAACCTCACCCTCTTCAGGCTCCATCCCTCAAACCTCCAGGAATTTCCCATCTGGAGTTGGCAACCCTATCAGGACTGGCCCCAATGTGTTTTCTCCCAAAGGCCAAAGTAGGTGACAGGACCAAGCTTAGTTGCCTACCAACAGGCACTGAGGGGAATGTAGGGTTGCCAGCTCTAAGGAGGGAAATACCTGGAGATTTGGGGGGTGGTTTCTGTAGAGGGCAGCATTGGGTGGGGGGGGGTGGAAGGACTCAGCAGGTATAATGTCATAGGGTCTACCCTCCAAAGCATCCATTTTCTCCAGGGGAACTGATCTCTGTCATCTGGAGATCAATTGTAACAGTGGGAGATCTCCAGGTCCCACCTGGAGATTGGCAACCCTAGGGGAAAGTCAGCTGCACAGCAGGGGGTTGAAGAGAATGGTTTGATGGCTGCTGGGCCAAGATTGGCAACAATAGTTCCCCAGGAGCCCCATCGTAAATGCACCAAACAGCCTCTGCTTAGGGAAAGGGCAGCTGACATCATTCTCCTCTCCCCTATGAGGTATGTTATGCAACTGAAAATCCCAACTGCCTTGCGGGGGAGGGGGGGAGTTTGAGGTGTGGAATGGAGTGAAGTCCAATCAGCTTCCATATGCAAATGACCTTGGAACGCTGGGCGGGACTGCACAAAGCAGCCAGTCAACCCAGCCAGTGTCTTCTGAGTGGCAGTTCTTCCGGCCAAACACTAAAGGCGGGCATTTTAGAATTTTGGTGCCCACTACTCAATTATAATAAGGGAGAGATGCTGGGCCAGCACCAGGGAGATCTGGGTTCAATCATCATCAGAGGAGGACCTCAGGGGCAGTCATTTCCCTTCAACCTAACCTACATTGCAGGGTTGTTGTGGGGATAAAATGGAGGAGGGGACCACCACCCTGAGCTTCTCGGGAGGGGCGATGGGCTAACAAGGTAGCATATAAACACAGAAAACAAATTCTGGCAGCCCAGCCTAATCCATGTGCATTTGCTTTGCAGACACTATGATGTGACCCCTGCCTGAAGTTAGTCTGTGTCCTCCTGAGGACCAGAGGGGCCCTTTGGAAGCTGCCCATTGCTCCAGTATTGCAGAGACGACTCTTCCTCTTCTTCCCAAATGGAAATGTCGCTGCCTAGTTTCCCTGCACCCTTCAGCCCCCAGCTGACCTTTCAGCTCAGCCCTTACCTGCGCCCACCGCCTCTGCCCACTCCCTATTGTATTGTCATCATACTCATTTAGTCCCCGTGTAGAACGAAAACATTGGAAAATTCGTTATCCTCTTCTCACAGCTTAAATGTGTTTTGGCTCTTGGATTTGGGGCAAGGCTGTTGACACTCTGGGCCAAGAAAAACCCCTCACGCCCAAACTCTGTGCCAAGACGGCTCAGATTCTGTACTCACAATAAAATTCTTGGTGTGGCCCATTCCCCGTCCCCTGAATTTTCTGACTCTATTGGGTTCTGTGCTTTGTTTGGCCCTGTGTGTGCTGCCATTTTGTACACCACTGGCGGCAACTTCATTTACTCAGTCAGGGCAATGAGAGCCTGCCGGATGGAATTACAAAGTCTTTCATTTACATTTGTGGAACAAAAGAACATGGGAGGTGCCCTGCTGGATCAGAACAGTGGTGCCTCCAGCCCGACATCCTGGAATGGATCCAACCAGCTTTCCTACAGCTGAAAAGAGAAGGAGGGGCCCATTTTGACCACCACAAAAGGGCTATGCTGGGGATCATCAGGGGAGGAGATGTGGCTTAATAGCAAAGCATCTGCTTGGCATGCAGAAGGCCCCAGGTTCAATCCCCGGCATCTCCAATTAAAAGGATCAGGTAGTAAGGGATGTGAAAGACCTCTGCCTGAGACCCAGGAGATCTACTGCCAGTCTGAGTAGACAATACGGACCTTGATGGACCAGAAGGTCTGATTTCGTATAAGGCAGTTTTGTGTGTATCGTGGGGCCTGCATGGACAAAAGCCATGAGGGGTGGGGTCTGTAATAAGCAGAAATGGGTGAGAGCAAGAGAAAAACCTCCCTGGATCCAACCCCAGTTCACAGCAGTCAAGCAGTCGCCCTGGAAGGTTAACAAGCAGGACGTAAAAGTACAAGGCTTCTCCTTATGTTGCCTCTTCGCACTAGTATTCAGGTTTACTGCCTCTGGATGTGGAGGTTCACTTTTATCATCATGGCTAGTAGCCATTGACGCTTGAACACATGAAGCTGCCTGATACTGAATCAGACTATTGGTCCCTCAAGGTCAGTATTGTCTACTCAGACTGGCAGCAATTCATTAATTATCATACGGCAGTGTGTGCAGTGTAGACAGGAGATCCTAAGATTGTCTGGCAGCCAAAAGTTCTAGATCTTTTTTAGTGTTATGCACCACTAGGTGGCAACCTAGACTTTTTTTTAAGGCAAGCAGTGTTTCAGAGGTAGTTGGCCATTGCCTGCCTCTGTGTCACGCCCCTGGTATTCCTTGGTCACCTATCCAAATACTAGCCAGGGCCCACCCTGCTTAGCTTCTGAGATCTGACAAGACTGGGCTAGCCTGGGCTATCCAGGTCAGTGGCCCTCCAGGTTCTCAAGGAGAGGTCTTTCACATCTCCTCCTGCCTGGTCCTTTTAACTGGAGATGCCCAGAACTGAACCCCGGAGCTTCTGAATGCCAAGCAGTTGCTCTGCCATTGACCCACAGCCCCTTCCTCTCTCTTCCCCTTTGATGGACCTCTCTTCCATGTATCTAACCCCTTTTTAAAAACAATCTATGGTGGCCACCATCACTACATCCACTAGGAAGGAATTCCACAAACGTCCAAGAATTCCTTTAGTACTATTTACCATTGTTTTGGTACAGTAGAGTGGTTAGTATCTGACTAGGATCTGGGAGACCCAAGGTTTGAGTGCTGTGGAAGCTCACTGGGAATCATCATCATCATCATCATCATCACCACCACCACCACCACCACCACCACCACCATCTTGCAGTGCATGTAGTATTGCCAGGAGAGCCTAAGATTGTCTGGCAGCCAGAAGTTCTAGATCTTTTAGCGTTATGTACCCCTAGGTAGCAAGCTAGACTTGGTTTTTTTTAAGGCAAGAGATGTATCAGAGGTAGTTTGCCATTGCCTGCCTCTGTGTTACAGCCCTGGTATTCCTTGGAGGTCGCCCATCCAAATACTAGCCAGGGCTGACCCTGCTAGAGCCAGTTTGGTGTAGTGGTTAAGTGCGCGGACTCTAATCTGGGAGAACCGGGTTTGATTCCTCACTCCTCCACTTGCACCTGCTGATGTGACCTTGGGTCAGTCAGAAGCTCTGGCACAGCTGTCCTTGAAAAAGAGCAGTTTGTGTCAGAGTTCTCTCAGCCCCACCCACCTCACAGGGTGTCTGTTGTGGGGAGGGGAAGAGAAAGGAGTTTGTAAGCCGCTCTGAGACTCCAAGTGAAGGGCGGGGGATAAATCCAATCTCTTCTCTTCTTCTTCTGCTTAGCTTCTGACAAGATCAGGCTAGTCTGGGCTATCCAGGTCAGGGCTCACTGGGAGACCTTGGGCCAGTCACCCACCCTCAGCCTATCCTACCTTGGAGGGCTTATTGTGAAGATAAAATGGAGAAGGGAGGAGTGTTGTAAGCCATTCTGGGTCCCCATTGGGGAGAAATGTGGATTATACATTAATAAATATAATAGTCCAGTATGTGGGAGCTATGACATATAGCACTGCTCTACTTCCAGGCTTGCCCTAGGTTTGGAGTGGGGCAGGCAGAATTCTGTAGGAGGCTCCTACCTGCCGCTCCATGCTACCTGAACAAAGAGTGAATGCAGACAACTGTTTACCAAGGAGTACCTCTCTGATGGGCTGTCTTTTCCCATAAGACTTTGCCCATTCCCTGAGATCATCTCCGGAATCCTTGATCCAGGTGTGACTGGCTTCAGAGGTTAGGATGGTAGTAACCGGAAAAAGTGTTCCGTGCGCCTTGGTGTTTAGTCATACCGGCCACATGACCACGGAAATGTCTTCGGGCAGCACTGGCTCTTCGGCTTTGAAACGGAGATGAGCACCACAACCCTAGAGTCGGACTTGACTGGCTTTCGAGCAAGGGAACCTTTACCTTTAACCGGAAAACAAGGCTTTTTCTGTGGTGGCCCCTCTGATATCTAGTCTCCTTTTCAGAGACAAACTGGCACCTATGAATTGTCTTTTTATGTTCCAGGCAAAGAAATTTTGTTCTCCGGAGCTTATAGAGCCTTGCTACTTTGTCGGCTACAGTTTTCTTTTTGATCCAGCAACAACCAAATAAAAGTAAACCCAAAGCCTTAAAAACAAACAAACCCCGAGTTCAAAGCTGGCTACTTCCTGCCTTTCCTGTGATGGCCCAGTTGCTGGAGGGAGCAGACCCTGTGCTGGAGCTGAGGAATGATAGAAAGTGTCCCACCAAACCTCCTTTATTGCTCCTAGTATTATCTGTAATAACAGATTTAAATACACAGAGGGAAAACACGGGATATGGCAGAGATCCCCCAACACAGCGCTCATGGGCACCAGGGAACCCATCAATACTTTTCCTGGTGCCCACAAAGTGTTTTCAGAAAATGGGCCAGGCCATGTAGGGCTTTTGCCCAGCAAGGTTTCTGATTGGCTATTGGAGATCCCCCCAAAGTTGGTTTGGCAGTGGCTGCCACAACAGCTGGATCTTCACTGTGTAGCTGAAGGAAAACTGTTAGCAATAAACAAGGAATACAGCCTGTGAATGCAATCAATGCAGCTACGCTAAATGCTGTATATACAATAATTTGTCAAAAACTATTTCTATGTCTCAACTTTTTAATAGATATTAATCATAAGTTGCATATGGCCCAACTTTTTAAACAGATAGTAATTGCAGTATAAATACAGCTCCATACAAGAATACAGTTCCACATAATGACCAATCACAGAATGGGAGAGACCACAGAAAAAGGAAAGGGTCCTCTAAATATATCACAGTTCAGTGAAAAAGTGCTTAACAGGCTCCAGAAATATCCTCACAATTCCTGAAAGGGGAAGAAAATAGAGCTTGACAAGACTTATTCCAATTAAGAGTCTTTAACTTTGACCTTTGAAAACTCAGCTTCAGTCAGACTGCATTGTGAGGATATTTTTGGAGCCTGTTACAGCGGTTTTTCAGAGAGCTGTGATATATTTAGAGGACCCTTTCCTGCTTCTGTGGTCTCTCCCATTCTGTGATTGGTTTTTATATGGAATTGTATTTACATTGCAATTTATATCTATATCTATCTATCACTATCTATCCATCTATCTATACTTATATATATATAAAGCTGGGTCATATGCAACTTATGATTAATATATATAAAGAAGTTGAGACATAGCTTTTGAATTTTTTTTGAAAAATGACTGTATGTGCAGCAATTAGTTTAGCTACATTTATTGCATGAAGGTAAACTGTGGCGGCCATTTTGTGGCTGGCTCCCTCTCCTGTGGCTATGACAGCTGTTTGGTGGAAGCCATTCTGTGGCTGCGCCCATCATCCTATGTCAGAATTCCAAAGGGGCCCGCAGGCTCAAAAACGTTGGGGATCCCCGGGGTATGGTGTTCCCAGGACTGCACCACTTGTCTGTAGCAGCCAGTTTGGTGTAGTGGTTAAGAACGGCGGACCATAATCTGGAGAACCGGGTTTGATTCTCCACTCCTCCACAAGCAGCCGTCTGGGTGTCCTTGGGTCAGTCACAGTTCTCTCAAGAGCAGTTCTCTCAGAGCTCTCTCAGCCCCACCGACCTCACAGGGTGTCTGTTGTGGGGAGAGGAAGGGAAGGAGACTGTAGGCCACTGCGAGACTCCGAGTGAAGGGTGGAGTATAAATCCAACTCTTTTTCTTCTTGTTTCAATGTTCCTCATTTTTTTTTAAATGAAGGCATTTCAGCCTCCAAGCAAGCTAAAACCTTTCCCCCTGAGGTGCTAGTTTTCCACAAGCAGGGAGGTTGGGAACACCCACGCCTCCAGCATGAACAGACACTCCAACCAAACGAGACGGCTGGAAAAAACCTCAAAGAAATGTATTCCCCACCTCGTTGCTTCTTACAGTATCTTTTCAGAGTTGAGCCTTTAACAGCTCTGCAGCCTTGATAGTTTTTAAGTGTCATTCTTATAATAATAATAACTGGATGCCAGGAGGACCCCCCCCCGCCCCAGTCCTTTTAGAACAAATGGATTGTGCGCAGAGCATAATGGGAGCGCTGAGAAATGTGTCTTCTCCCAGACCACCTAACCAGCTCCATCTGATTATCCGTGACCTAGTTTCGAGAGAAGGTCTGTTGGCCGCGGCCTGGGTAAATGTTTAAAAATGTACTTCACAGGAGCAACTTGCCTGGTATATGCAGAGGCTCCGTAAGGGTTTGGCAGCTGATTTGGGAGCACATGACTTGGAAAAGTGTAAGG